CCACAAGGATCTGTCCTTGGTCATCTGCTATTTTCAATATACATGTTGCCCCTTGGTAATATTAGTAGAAAATACGGAATTAGTTTCCATTGTTATGCTGATGGTAGTCAAGTATATATATCTCAACAAGACCAGATGAAACTTCTAAATGATCTAAGCTAAGTGTATTAAAAATGTAAAAGATTGGATGACCAATAATTTTCTCCTATTAAATTCGGATAAGACAGAGATATTACTTATTGGACCAAAAAGCAGTACACACTACACAGAATCTCTTGGATTACAATTTGCAATTAGACGGATGTACTGTTACTTCCTCTACAGTCAAAAAGTCTGGGTGAAAGGCTATATTAGACAGCAACTTGTCTTTTGAAAATCATATTTCCCATGTTACAAAAACAGCATTCTTCCATCTTAGAAACATTGCTAAGCTACGAAACATGTTACCTGTTTCTGATGCAGAAAAGCTAGTTCATGGTTTAGTTGACTATTGTAATTAGGGTTGGGTACCGAACTCTGTACTTTTATGGGTACTGCCGAGTACCGAGTCACGTTAAATCAATCGGTGTGAAATTCCAGTACCGGAGAACGTATCTGGGTATGTCACCCCTGCAACTCGTTCAAACAATACACAGGGCAAGTCGAAATGTTCTGAAATGTGGTTACATTTCTAGGGCCATATGGTTTCTGCGAAAACGCGGACGGGATTGCGGAGTCCATTCATAAAAACCTAATTTACTGCGAAATGCCACGGAATTCGTCAATTTTGGACGAATAAATCAAAAGCAGCCACTGCCACTTAATTCAAATCGCGAAATGAATTAGTGTCTGTGAATATTAAAATGCAAAAAGACGGTTTAAATATGAATCCTGCATGTTCCGCTTGCCTCTGTATGTATGAATGGCGGAAATGCAGTTTTGTTTACTACACAAATACTGAAGCACGCGTGACGCTCGCAGTGATTTTCGGCCTCTGTGTCTCACTATATGACGGCATAAACACAAAAACTTAATCTCCAGAGCTGCTGTGAGTCACTTCGCGAGAATTTTGCCATTTCATTTGAGAAAACTAGCATCATCATACTGTATACGCACAGAAACTTCACGGCAACCTGTCAAAATAAAAGTACAGTTTAACATGTAAAATAAATATATGACATTTTGAAGTTAATACAGTTATAATACAGTTAAATATAATAGTTTCATTTTCATTTGATTTAAAATAAATGTTTAATGCCTTCATTTGATTTTCAGAAAAATGAAAACAAGAATTTCTGGAAAAAAAGAAAGAAACTTTGTAGGGCTCTATTGATCAAAATGTTGAAATTGAGACTTTTGGACTTATTTTTTCACTGAAATAAACGTTTTTGTAATTACACAGAGCGTAAAGTTCCGAAAAAAGGTACCATTGGGTACCGGCACTGAAATTCAGGTACCGATACCGTACCAGTTAAAATGTGAACGATACCCAACCCTTGGTTGGAACAGCAGCTACACTAATTATGTCTCTATTTGTTTCTCTGTTTCTGCCATGGGATTGAAGTCCCATAGTAACTAGGAATTACACAAGCTTCAGTCTGGATCCAGCCCTTACAAAGACCTGAGATGACCGAACTCCTGTGAAGAGATGATGCAAACCCCTCAGAGGACCTCAGATGATGCCAACCTTGAAACAACATAAACTACCAAATTTTGCTACAAGTTTGATTGCAACATATAAACATTGCTGTTAATAGTGTTCATCGTACATTTCTGCCATATGTACATCGATCTGACATAGTCACCACTGACAACCTACTACTAAATATATTGTAGAAACTTAATTTTCTGTAAAGCTGCTTTGCAACTATTTGTAAGGTAAAAAGCGCTATACAAATAAGCTCGATTTGAATTGCAATTAAATGATTACAACAGCAGAAAAACGATGCATTCCGATTTATATCTAACTATTTTATCAGACAGATTTCTAATTACACCGCGCAAGACGCATCAGCCTCATTTGCCACAACGAAGAAAGCCATGATTTCATGCATCCATGCACTTCCATAATGACTAGTTAGTACATGTGTGATTGAAGCTGAACGCTAACAATGCATCAAAAATTGCTATTCATTCACCACCGTCCTGATAATTAAATAAAATATACAGTCTGGATGACAGCTGCACGTCAATCAAAATCCTTTGACACACAGTCGCGCGAATCCATTGAGTTCTCGCAACAATGTAGCGCGTGCAAACACAACAGCTGGCAGTTCGAGAGCTGAGCCTCCATCAGATATGTTAACAGTTTAAAGTAAACCTAAAAACACAGATCTCACAGTCCTGGTGATAACACCTCATTTAGAGCCAGCTGGATTTTATTGCAGGAACATGAAACCAGAGACTGCCACGATCTTTCCGCGCATGTTGCTTCTTTTATATCTTCTTACCCAACTTAATTTGCATTCACTCTACTTTTTCTACGTGCTGAGACACTGATGCGATAATATTAACACTTCAGAGGAGTTAGAAAGCTCCGTTCCAGCAAGCAGCTCGCGAGCATGTAGTGAACGCGACCGGCTCGAGCTTTTTTTGGCTGGGATACAAATTGGAAAGGAAAAGAAAAAAGGCTGCGCGTAATTGGAGTGACGCTCCCACGCTGCGAGGATGTTTTACCTGATTTTCCTGAGGTTTCACTCTTCCTCTTAACAGCCCCTTCAGTTCCACCACAATTCCCCAACTTTTCACGCTATATTTTTATTTCCTATTATTTCTATTCGCCAAACAATCACTTCTCGCATCAAAGATGGCCGCCAGGAACACCTCCTCCGCTAGTGCGCTGGAGGCTTGAGGCCCCGCCCACTGAAACGCCATTGGGTACCAGCCATCAGTTCTTTTCTCTCATTGGATAAGAGGAGCTGTCGATCTACTCGCAGTGCTTGACAGCTTCCGTGCACAGCGACTGATGGTTGGTGTATATAGAGGTTAAAGGTGTACCGGGATGTCTTGAAATTTTCCGCCTTATTATATGGCCTAGTAAGTACTATTCTGTACTAATGTTTTAAGCGTCTAGCAAAAGAAAGCGTAGTTTCAAAGCACTGCTTGCAAGTTTTAGAATCTAAGATGCTGCTCACCACCAGTGCCGTTTGTAGCCAGCTTGCTTGGGAAACGGATGGGATTTAGCAATATAAAAGCTCGAAATCATTTCTAAACATTAGCCTTCATCATTTAGACCCTCATTTGTAGGTGCTGCTCAGTTACTCAGAAGTATCAGTCATGATTGTTACGCATCTGCTATGAAGTGAAGTCCACAAAAGTGAATAAAATGTAAACTCCCTAGTACATCAGATCTGCTTTCATGAAAGCTAAAATATTTAGTCAAAAAGATAATTGTAAATATATATTTACCTTTAACTCTTTACTGTTATTAATTAGTAACGCACCAGATTCCTCTGACATGCAAAATTAACTCGAATTTCAAATCTCCCAACATTGTTATTGTTAAAGGAAAATGTAAATGCTAGATGAAAAACCAACAAAAAATAGAAATGCTCATTTGAAATAAGTTAATGTATTAAAACGACTAAAAGTGAAGTAAAAATCAAGCTACGTTAAAAAAAATGAATAAAATGACAATTATTAAAACTTAAAGTCCCCATGAAATCAAAATTAAAGTTTTTTTGGGTGTTAGTATCAATATGTTAGTCTTAAGGTTATCTATAAGGCAGTGTGCTCCAAAACAGTGACAAAATTCGCATTTAGAAGCATTCAAAGCTTGCAGATCGTCACTTCCGCCAAAACGGCTCAGCGATTTTTTTTTTGACGTCACATCGTTCTTCAGCTTTTCATCAAACTTTCTGTCCAATCAAATGCTCTCTAGAATCCGAAGCGCCCGCCCCCTACACTATAAAATAGACGCTGAAGCCGCGTAACCAGTATTTTCTGTACAGTGAATGGCACGTAGTGCACTATATAGGGGAGCATGCGCGAGTCGGCGCAGACCACAAAATGTATCGGAGCTATTTGAATTCTACACAGAATGCTATATTTTATAGCAATATGGATGAGATTGTGGATGGCATACCGTCAAATGCGGAGCTCAACGGCTCTAGCCCAAGCTGTGATATAAACGAACGCTATTGGCTATTTTAAAAAGGGGCGGGGCTGCTTGATATGTCCCGCCCTGTCTTCCTGTTTCAGTTAAAATGACGTCAACACAGAGTAAAGCTGCGTGTTTCATTTCAGGGGACCTTTAACATATAAAATACTAAGCTAATTCAAAATATTAATAAATACTTTCATTTGCTTTTGATTTATGCTCTGCTTTTAGGACTAGATCTTGAAATCACTTGGAAAATATGAGCAACTTTCTCAAATAAGATGCTTTTTGCTGCTTTTTAAATGCTTTAAAAAACTATTCCATTAAAAAACTGTTGATTGTAAAAGCCTTTTACTACCGTTTGCATAAGAAAATCAAGACATTACCAAACTTATTCAATGAACAGAGATTGAGACGGAAACATATCGACACACTATGAACATAATAGTCCAAGCTGACATAAAAACACACAATAGGCCTATTCAGGTAAAGTAAACAAGTAAAAAAAAGTGTTTGCAGCAGGTTGCTGCACGGCAGTGATAAACCCTTCAGCTTTACATCGAGAAAGAGAGGGAGAAAGTGATTAACTTTGGTTCCGATTCACAAGACTTCATAAAACCTGTTCAATACAACTACCACAGTCCCTCCACGGCATCTCAATATATCCCAGTTCAATCTGATGTCCTATAACAAGCTAAGAGAGTATGATGAAGCAATCACGACCTCCACAAGCAAACAAACTTCAGTGGCTTTGGAAAAGGTAACGCTAAAAAGCCCTTAAATGAGAAACATTCAAAAATCTGTCATTGATTATAGACACTTCTGGTATACGAGTGTATTATTTCCATTTACTGATTTCAGGTATTAGCATTCACTAAATGGTCATAGTTCTATTTGAATAAATCAGCAAATATACAAGTCTGATAGTGCCGTACTATGTAAAAAGCAATAAGCAGCATAAAACATACTCCAAAGATGATGTGCAGAGGGAATAAATATTTATACATAGACCCAAGATGAAGAAAATATTGGTTCAGTTTAAAAACTAGGCATGTGACTGGTCAAAAACAAAGTACAAAAATGCTACATATTGCTTCTTAACAGAGTAGCATGCAGCGTCTCACAAATCAATGACAACCAGATTCACAACTGATCATACTTCCAAGAGTTTTATTATCAAAAGTGGCCTATTATACTGAGAAAAGAAAAAAAACATCACACATACAGAAAAGGTGCCACACTGGACAAATGCCATCACCGTCTAATGAGTTGGTGATATGTATGGAAGAGACTAAGTTTAAGAACAAAACCAGACAAAAACTGGGACGGTCTAATACCTGGAGATATGAACTGCAAAAAGATACAAAATGGGAGGGAGAAGTGGCGAGTTGGCCAACAGAGAAGACGAATGACTTCCGAGAAGGGTCTGTCGCAGTGGGATATTCAAATGAGAAATAAAAAGAGATAAAAACAAGGAAAGAGACTGAAATATGAGGTTTTCATTTGAATTACCTGGCTAATATTAACATTTGGTTGGGTATCAATAGTTATTTTGTGTTCTCTGATGGTCACGATTTTACATCATTTGTTTCAGTATGCAATTAAAAAATAGTAATTTTATTAACAGAATAAGTATAATCAGTATAACAGAATCTCTCTCGCTAATGTTCTTAAAATACAAAATGAAAGCAAAAGCCCTCCCATAATTGCTCACAAATCATCTCAGCCAGAGAGAGAAGAAAAAAAAAACAGAACATTCACCTTTGGCTTTTTTTAAAGATTACAAAAAAAAAAAGTTCCCCCTTGTCATCTCTGCCTCAATTTCTCACTCTTTTTATGAATTATTATCGCAAAGCTGCTACTCCTCCATCCTATTTTTCTTGCTCTCTTCCTCTACCAGAACTCTCGGCGGTGGTAAGCATCTGGATCGCAGTACTTGGTCACCACCACCCTGTTGGCGAACTTTCTCCCCGTTAAGGCCTGCATGGCTTTCTGGGAGTCGAAAACAGATGTGAACTCCACAAAGATCTGGAAAAATAAAACAGATCGTGAGATGGATTGTGTATGTTTGTGTAGCGCTACCAGATGTTCATTGCTGGAGGGTTTGAAGTCAAAGTGCTTTAAAGGGTTAGTTCACCCAAAAATGAAAATTCTGTCATTAATTACTCACCCTCATGTCGTTTCAAATCAGTAAGACCTTCGTTCATCTTCGGAACACAAATTAAGAAATTTTTGATGGAATCTGAGAGCTGTCTGACCCTGCATAGACAGCAACGCAACTGAAATGTTTCCAAGTCCAGAAACATAGCAAGGAGATCGGTAAAATAATCCATGTGACATCAGTGGTTCATCCGCAATTATACGAAGCTACGAGAATACTTTGTGCGCAAAAGGAAAAAAAAAAACGACTTTATTCAACAATTTGTCTCTTCCGCATCACCCTGGTGCCATTTTGGAGAATATCAGCTGGACATAAACAACGTATGCTGTTCTGTGTCAGCTGCGTCACGCAGAATCGGTTTCCTACGTTGTTTGCACTTTGATTTGAATGAAAACAACATATCCGCGTGACGCAGCTGACACAGAATAGCATACGCTCTTTACGTCCAGCAGATATTCTCCAAAATGGCACCAGGGTGATGCGGAGGAGACGAAAAGTTGAATAAAGTTTTTTTTTTTCCCTTTTCTTTTGCGCACAAAAAGTATTCTCGTAGCTTCGTATACTTGCGGATGAACCACTGATGTCACATGGATTATTTTACAGATCTCCTTGCTACGTTTCTGGACTTGGGAACATTTCAGTTGTGTGCCCTATGACCCAATGCAGGGTCAGAGAGCTCTCAGATTCCATCAAAAATATCTTAATTTGTGTTCCGAAGATGAATGAAGGTCTTACGGGTTTGAAACGACATGAGGGTGAGTAATTAATGACAGAATTTTCATTTTTGGGTGAACTAACCCTTTAATCCAGGGGTTTTCAAACTGTGGGTCATGACCCACTTGTGGATCACAGAGTGGGACACTTGGCTGCAGCTAAATTTGAGTTTCAATGACACACACACTCACACAGTTCAGTCTAGGGCTGCACGACATCCCAACATTAATTACGAATTGCAATATTCTTATTAAGTCCGCGATTTAAAACGTGCATTGCGTGTTTTAAAGTGCGCACAAGTTGTAATAACAGTAAGGGTCTCAGAGCGACGTCATTATTAAAAGGCTCGATCGGTCCACATTATTAATAGGAAGAAACTCGCTCACTTCACTGCGCTGTATATTCTGCATGAGATTGCATCCAATGAAAATTCAAATGTTACGAAAACTGTTTCAGGTATGTTCATTCATTTCTATCGTCTGTTTGAACTCGGCGCTGTTTTCGCTCCTTATGCATTTGGCTACCTACCAATAAAGAAACTGTCTGTAAAAAGCATTTCACATGTACAGGCCAAGTGGGGCACAAACGTGGGGTTAATTGTAACGCTACGCGATTTAAACATTTCCACACGCTAGCATAACAATATTTACAAAATTCCGTATTATTTCCTTGCCATATCAATCTCTATATAGAGAAAAATGTGCTAAAGTTCAAAAATATTTTGAAGATATCGCTGAACATTTAACCATTACAAAAGTACGTTTCTGACTGAAGTAAATTTGTCATCTCAGTTTTTAGTGTTTATTTAAAATAAACTGTTTATTATTTCTCCCCGTCCTCTATTTATTATTCGCTCTCCCC